ATGACTGATTTAAGGCTAATAAGTTTTAAGGTTTACAAATGATGCCTACTAGTTCTAAAAATTGAGTTATATTTTTAAACTTGGGTTGCATGTATATATATTTATACTTTTATAAGCATAATGTATTTTATTATATTAATTATAGTAAATTGCACGTATAGTCAATTTCCATTTAGTAATATACTTTCAAAATCAACATCTAAATGTCTATGTTCTAATTTATAATTAATCTAGGGATATTATTCCCGCTTTATGTGGATCGTAATCTATAAATTTTCTATTAGGTAATGACCATTTTTGTAATTTTTTTTAACATTTGGACCGATTCTATAATTTTTTTTGCACAAAGATCTTGTTTGTAAATTATAGGATCAGTTTTTGTAATTTATTTTCTACAGAGGACCAAACCTTCCAACATACGAAAGAAACATATGGACCGTTTTTATAAAAAAAATCTACACAAGGACCTGTTCTGTAAATGATAGAAATAGTTTTTTATAAATTATTTTTTACACATAGATCGAACTTTCAAACATACAAAAGTCTTGTTGCCAAAGACTCAAACCCAAATAGTATACCATTTATTTACAAATTGCAATTAGATATATACATAGTATAATAATAATAAGACCAACCACATCAATTAATCCAAATAGGAATGACAATAGGGCGGGAATAATTTACCAAACCCTCACCAATATCATTCAAGTATCTTATCGGGACGCCTCAATGGGTTTATGATATCTTATCGAGTTTACAAAAAGTCGTAACGAAAGCTTTATTCCGGTTCCACGTATTCAATGTCTTATAAAAAAAATTACATTATTAGCCTCCCTTTTAATAAATATTATGCATCATTTCATTAAGATAAAATGGTCATTCACATTACATTGCAAATTATTTGATGTAAGTTTAACGTAATGTTATAACATAAAAAAACCATTCACAACAGATTGTTAAAAATTAAAAAAATCGTGTTCACAGTAGGTATTTTATCTTTGAATGGTTGCAATTAACATTAAAATGATTCAAACATCATATATGTAAGAGTTCATTTGAAATGGACATACTTTTGTGAGACCGTGAGATAGGGATGAGATTTGGAACCGGAAAACCGGACTGGAACCGGAACCGTTAGAACCGGAATATATAGAACCGGTTCCGATTCCGGTTCTGGGTTTGAAAATTGACTTTATCCGGGTTTCGGGTAATCCGGGTTTGGGTCCATCGGGTTTGGGTAAACCGGGTCTAAGAACCGGAACCGGTTTTTGTGAAACGTTTAAAAAATACATATCTCATTCGTTTCAAGTCGGATTGACATGCGGTTTTTCCAACGTGTTGTTTAGAGTTTGTACATGAGTTTAGACTATAAATTTGTCATTTTTGGATTTATATTCATTGACTTACAATCCCCCGAAATCAAGATATCAAAGCTGAAATATTATAATATTCTAGTCTTGGTAAAAAATATAATATGTATAATATTCTAACATTATATGTTTTTAGAATATTTCAATGTAATATGTGTTAAAAATATTGTTTTAGAATATCATAATATTACATATATTATATTATTTTGAATAACAGAATATTATAATATTTCATTAGAAAAAAGTGGTCTCACGGTCTCAGAACATTCGACCCATCTCAAATATATATATATATATATATATATATATATATATATATATATATATATATATATATATATATATATATAGGTTTATTTGAGACCATGTTAATTTTGTGAGACCGTGAGAAGCAATCTAAAAATAAATTTAAAATGCTAAATAAAAGGAAAAATCCGAAAATTCTTTTTTTAATTATTAATTTCGTCATTTTATTTACCTAAAAAAATAAATAAATAAATAAATAAAAATTATCGTTTTTTTTTTTTTGAAAAATACGTGAAATATTCTAATAGAATATTACACTGTAAATATTTTAATGTGATTTTTAGAATGTTAGAATATTCTAATATTCTAGTAGATTTGTCAGATATATAAAATATTCTAATATTCTACTAGAATATTTCACAGATATTTCAAAAAAATGGTAATTTTATTTATTTTTTTTTTTGGAAAATATAAATGACGAAAAAAATATTTAAAAACAATTTTTTTGAAAATTTTCAATTATTTTGCATTTTAAAATGTTTTTTTTATCTACAAAATGAATGGCTAGGATTGCGCCTTCCCGTCTCATAAAATACAGTGGTCTCACATGAACTTAACCATATATATATATATATATATATATATATATATATATATATATATATATATATATATATATATATAAACCACCTTTCTTAAATGAAGAGGAAAGTGGGCTTTGACAATTAATCAGGGATTTTGAAAGATTTTTGAAGAATTTTAGATGAATATTGTGGAATTTTGGAGGTTTTATGTCGTCCTTTTATTGGGTTTCTGGATCATTTTACGGGTCAAGTATAAATGGTCGATATTTCATGGGTTGGGTCCAGTTGAGTCTTATTATCCCTTTATCAAATTAGATGCCAGCACATCCAACCGCCCTTGTAACCCAATCAAAAGCCATCGGCCGCCTATCTTTTCTCTTTCTCCCTTTGCCGACCGAAATTGGCGAGTCACTAATTAAACAAACGTGTCATTGCTTTGGGCGACACCTGGTCTTCCATTTCCAATACACTGCCATTGAATTCCTTCTTCCCCCGTTGACTAAAATTTATTTTCTTTTCTCTTCCTTCCCATCTCTCTCTAGAAAACAAAGGTGAATGAAATAAAGAGGACTGATCCATCTTCCTCTCATGCCACATTTCATTTTACAAAACCAACCCTTTTGCCAGTTGATTTGCTTCGGAGACGCCATTCCGGCACAGTTGACGTCCCTCCGTCGTACCCAGAATCATGAGAAATCGTTTTGTCCCTTCTGTTACCCTTCTTTTCCACTTTTTGTTTCTAGAAACACGATTTGGGCGTTTTTTCTGTGGAATCTGATTATTTTGCTATGAATTCTAGGTTTTGAGTGGTATGGCAGATTAATGTGACGAAACTGAGCAAGGAGGTGAGTCGTTTATGGAATATGGATAACAATATTCTTCTCGATTTCTAAATGAAATTAATCTCTATTCTCTTTGTGGAATTAAGGATGGTTTTTCTTCATTTTTACCCCTCAAAGAGGTTGCGTGTATCTCACTTAGGGGTTTTTTTTTTTTTGGTCGTGCAAGCCACTGTTCCTCCACTCTCACCGCCTAAATGATCCAATCCATTTGCTCCAACTCTACAGAACACGTGTATTCGTCTGCTTCTTCACCGCTAGGTCTGCCAATGGTTTTCTCCCTCCGGTTTCCTTCTTCCATTTAGACGGGTGAATCATGCGTGTAGCCTTGCCACCGTCTCATTCTAGCTGGCCACATGCATCGATACCAGAGAGATTAAACTGTTTACTTTCTTTTTTCCTTTCCCAATATACGGCCATACACGACTTTCTTTTCTTCGATCGTTTCATTCTCTCATTTCTCACCGCTTACCCCTTTTCTTTCCACTACTTCAAAGAACAAACCGATCTGCCATCCATTTTTTTTCCACAACTGGTCGTCTTTTGCATCTCTACTTTAATTTTACGGTTTTTGGGCTCTTGGCTAAAGATTGAAGAACAGTTCCATACCGTGATTAGGGGAACTAGCGATGGGTTCTTTAATCATAGAGGTAAAGTAATTTTGTGATTTCGTTTGATGGGGTTTTAGACTACTCCCTAAAGCTTCTGAACAGTTTTTACTACTTCTATCTTTTCTTTGTCTCCATTGGTTTTGTTATTTAGATTTCAAACAATGAAATGGGTCGGTCTAGAGGTGATGCAAGAAAATATGGTACCAAGTACAGTTTGATCAACACTGTATTTCATACATTGATGTAAGAAAATGTTCATTTGTCTTCTACATTCAATTTCTACTTTTATTTTTGACATTTTGATGTTTCTTTTTGGTTTCTCACAAGCTGGAAAGTCACCAAGAAGCTCCATGGTGTCTATCGCAAAAGAAGAGCTTATTTGTTTTCCTATTTTTGTTGAACAGGTCGTTTCTTTATCCATTTCACCTCTCATATTTCATTTTTTTTAGAAAATGAGGGCTTGCCAATTGTACAATGAGATTCCTAAGAAAAAAATTACAACGAAAATTGGATTTTGATGCCATTTTAAATACTTCAACTAACTAAAAGCTTGGTTATTAATGGGACCTTACGTTTTCTTCTTTGATTGTTTGTTATTTTTCTAATGAAATGATTGTTGGCCTCAAATATGGCCTCAAACATTCCTTTTAGGATAACTTTTTGACCATAAACCCACAAATGTCCAGGTACTTATCTGTTCAAAACATATATTCTTGTCGATGAACTTCTCAAGCAATATATATTCCACCACTTAAGTGCCAAAATACGTTGTTTTGCACCTCAGAAAGAGAAACAACACCTCATTAACTTTTTTTTTTCTTTCATCACTAATTACTTTTGGTTTATAACAATGCTAAAGAGTAAAGAGCATGTGCATTAGGTATCAAGTTTGAAGTTTCCTACCTTCTAACCTTCTATTTTGATTTTTTTATACTTTGTTGATTGCAGCTCACGTTATGGGTTTTTGTTCAAATTAGTTCTCAAGGTATAATCTTTTATTGAGATTTTGTTTTTATTTGATGGGTTTCGTTGTAGAGTCAACTCAGGGGGTTGTTGGTGACGATCAATTATGTGTTGTTGATGTGTATTAAGTTATTAACTAATTGAAGCTCTTATAAAAAATCTTGAAAGCCTCACTCCTTTATTCTCAACTTCTTTTAGCTCTTGAAATTAATCACCCGTTTTATTGACTATTCTCAAAAGGAAATATAGAAAAAGGCACCACTTGTAAATGCCAATTGCTAAATTTATAGCTTCTTACAAAATGATTATTTTTCAGCACCTATGCACCTGTATTTAATTTTTCTTCCTTTATTTAGTATCGAGATCCTAAAAGCACAACAAAGAAGAATGATAGCAGCAACATGGGTACCATATGTAGAAGAATCCTTAACAGATGCAATCGACTGGCTAATTGGTGGTGATCATCAAGTGATACAACCAATCAAATACCATGATGGTCTCGACTGTTGAGGACTTCTCACTTTAGGACGAATGCTGATGTCTTTCATTTCCATCTCAGGAATCATGTTCTGTTACTTCACCCACTTGGAGGCTGATGATGTTCTGCATTGTTGGTGCTTGAAGCAACATCACAAGGTTAGAGAACATTTACATTATTCTTTTTGGTAATAAAACGATGAACTGTTTTGAATTATTGACGTTTTTAGGTGCTTGAAGATGGTGTTCTTGATCCAGAAAACCCTAGGCAGTGGTGTTAATCTTTCCATCTCCAATGCATTATGTGGGTCTCACGCGCAAGCTCAGTGAAAACTAACCCCGTATTCCGAACCCGCCAGATAGTTTGGCTGCAAATGACCAACATTTTAATCAGTAATCGATGAATATTAATGATTTCAAATGATGTTTGTTTGTTCTCATTTTGCAAAGTCGTGATATTAGTATTAATTAATGGTTTTTAACCAATGAAGATGTTCAGCCATTTCAAATTCCCTGTGACCATTTTCCCATTATAATCATCATTTTGACAACTATTATCAGGAATTTTTATGCATGATCTTTTTTAGTTCAAGTGATTTAAATAGGGTAGATATGCAACAAAGTGACTTTTTTTTTGTAGCATCCTCTTTATTTATTCTTATCATCACATAACATCAAAATAACCATGTACCATGTATGTGAAAGCGTCATAATGCAACAATCAATGTTATAGGCTGGAAAATTCTTATATGATCCTTACATTAAGGGATAAATGCAACAAGTAGCAATGCACTTTTATTTTCTTGTTTATTATATTATCATATTTGCATTTTTTCCTCTAGTTATATCACTAAATTTTCATTTATTTTTTAATTAAGCCATCGTACTTTGAGTGTTATGCTCCAAATATGTACTTCTAAGAATGGAAATTGTTTGTGTTAGTAGATTTACGATCTTTAGCTATTGCCATGGGTCGTGCTTAGCACGGCCCAAAGAACCCTCCTAGGGCAGGCTGGTCACTTTATGTACTAAGATGCTCCATATTACATGGTTGTGCATATTAAAACATATCACTAGGCTAAAAAAAGACTTCATTATAAATCACTTAGTCTATATAGACATTATTTATCCATTCACTTTAGATATACAAAACATAATGAGGAAAAAAGAAACAACTTCTAAGTCGATGGCTTATGAGAATATTATTTTTGGCTTGTCATTATCGGCCAACATCGTTTTATCAAAAAAAAACATCAAAAAGTAAGAGGAAAATTCAAAAACAATTACATATGTGATAAGAAGAATATTATTTTGTCGTTCGTATGACGACAATAGGGTTTTTGGTCGCTTATAAACACCAGAAAAATAGAACCTTGGTGTCGAAAAAGAAAGCTGTGTGATCATACATAACACATCATAAGATTGAATATATATATATATATATATATATATATATATATATATATATATATATATATATACACACACACTATTCATTATAGTTAAAGAGACATTCAAGATTAGTGTTTTTGATGCAAAAACTAGTGATTTATTTTGTAATCCAAATTTAAGTCTAATTACCTAAGAAAAATAATAACTTTGGCTATATTTATCTCTAACAAGTGAAATTGGTAAAATAGAAAAACTTACTAAAAAAGAACATGTCACTATGGTTAAAAGTTGTGAGAAGTGTATTCACATGCGCTTACAGCCTACTAGGACGTTCTAATAACAAATAAAGCTCATTTAATACATTTATTATTTACAAAATTAAAAATATAGACAAGAAAATGTTGACAGATTGACTTGACCCGACCCATTTTAACTTACTTAGAGTTATCCGTTTTGATCCATTGCCCAACTTACCGACTCACGGTTTCTGTCAAAAGTGAAGTCTAGTAGGAAAAATCCATGTATGGTTGCCTTTTGGCTCATGCAAATTATAATAAAAAAATATTTTTATTTCTTTATGAGGTGAAAGGTCATGCATCCAAATTATTATTATATTTTTAATTAATACTTGAAAGAGATGGAATAGGGCATAACATGGAAAGGGGTATGTGACAAAATAGAAATTATAAACAAGTGATAATAGGCCTTGTTTTTTCTATTGGAGGTGATTGCTAGGAGCCCACTTGGGTTATGAGACAAAAAGACTCCAATCAATCCTCTAATACCAACCAAAAAAAACTTTTTAACTTTTCATGCATATCAAGACAAGAATACCCTTACCCATATTTTCCAACTTGGTCCTATTGTCTTTGCCCACTCTTTCCCTAAAAAACAATAACATGCATGCAAGTCTTTGTTCAGATCTTATTTTTGGGCATATTCTTAATATAGTAGTGAAGGGCATGTGAAATTCACAAAATGATTATAATTACACAAGTTAAAGAGATGACCATACCTGCTACCAGGGAATCGGGTCTCATGGAAACATCCGTTTTTGGGAAGGTCAACACGCGACACAAATGATCTGAAATTATGATATAAATAAATGTTATAAGGATAAATTAACTTTTTTTAAAGATTAAAGAATCCTGTTTGAAAACAAACTCTTTGACGTACAGTACTTGGTCAAATATATTGTGATCCACGAGGAAATTATGATAAGTTAACATGCTGGATAAAGATACAAATACCAATCGGTGCTATGGAATTTCCCTTATTGCCCTTTTGACATTATTCACCCAGTTATATTATTCAAATGAATGATATGAGAAATCTAATCAGCAATGTGTGGTTGCTGTATTCCTATGACAATTTAACAATGTCATATGTCATATTCAGGATAAGAGAGAATAACGAGGAGAATTATGGATCCTCTCAATGATTAGTAGAGACATGTTTCTTTACACTAAATCACCAACCTTGTCTTGTTATAAGAGATTAAATTAAAAAACCAAAGATATGTTTCTGACTGAAGACAAGACAAAAGGCACATGAATTAAAACGAGAAGCTTTCTCATTTCAATCACAAGCTAAATTGCAATTTTGAGACTCAAGCAACTATCTTCCAGGAAAAAGGCTTTAGAATCCAATGTCTAGAATTCGGAGAAGTCATAATGGACACATGCAATTGTATATTGGATTATTTTAATCCCAATACATAAGAAGCTGTTTTCTAGTTTTTTAGCAAATAGAATTCCTGATTTTGGAAGAAAAGTTGTTAGTATTGGACTGAAATTCTAGTCATTAATATGTTTCTGTAGATGGATTTTTACTCGATGAAGGAGGTGATCTTCATGAAAGACAACAAAGGATAAGGAACAAGAGTTTTTGATGTTGTCATCACACCCTAAATCCTACAAGCCATTTGTGAGACTATGTTGACACGTAGGACTAGCTTAACACTTTAAGATTTGCTTAAGGCGATGCAGGATAATGAAATAATGGCTCAGGATGATAGCTTCTCAAATGAAAAGGTATGCTAGTCACAACGCTTTTGAAAGAAGAGAAAGAACTTAAATTCATATGGAAGATATCAAACTATGCAGGATATGAAATAATTGCCACAAAATATTGTTGTGTCGTTTTTATTATTTGTTTGTTATTGTTGTGTTGATTCCTTATCGAGGTATCCGATCACAACAAAAGTAACATAAAAATCTCTTAAAACCCATTCTACACCATTCTCTTTTTATTATATATACCCCACAATTTTTGTCCCTTTTACCCTCAATCCTTTATATATATAGCACACAATTACATATATCAAATTTCCATCACATCTTCCTCATTCTTCCATTACAAGCATTATTGATACATACTATCATTTCTCTTCTCCACACTATAGCCATTAGACACAACTCGATATGTCTTTACAACAACTAGATGCTTTCAGAGAAAAGTATTTGGACTTAAACTCAATAAAAGAACTACCCGAATCATATGCATGGTCATCAGAGAATAATTTCCCTTCCTCCAGCAGTTCAGAGCCAGTTCCAGTGATCAACCTCAAAGATTCAAACGCCATGAAGCATGTAGGCTATGCATGCAAAACATGGGGTGTGTTTCAAGTCACCAACCATGGCATCCCTACAACTCTTCTTAACAACATGGAAGCTTCTGGAAGAAAGCTATTCTCTCTTCCCTTCCAACAAAAACTAAAAGCAGCTCGCTCTCCGGATGGTGTTTCTGGATATGGTGTTGCTCGGATATCTTCTTTTTTCCCAAAACTCATGTGGTCTGAAGGCTTCACTCTAATTGACTCACCACACCAACATGCTCAGAAGCTTTGGCCCCAAGGTTCCGGAAACTTCTGGTAAGAATCTTTCAAGATTCATGCACGTAAAAGGTAAACGATTGAGTATCATAGTTGAGACTGACTGACACCCTTTTTGGTGATTTTTCAGCGATGTAATCGAAGAGTACAATAAGGAAATGAATAAATTATCCAATAGGGTGATGTGGCTAATACTTGGATCATTGGGTATAAAAAAGGGAGATATAAAATGGGCTAATCAAGAAGGAGAGATAAAAGAAGCATGTGCAGCCTTACAATTAAATTCTTACCCATCTTGTCCAGATCCGGATCGAGCCATGGGTCTTGCAGCTCATACGGATTCAACCCTCCTCACAATCCTACACCAAAGCAACACAAGTGGGTTGCAGGTTCAAAGAGGAGGAGTTGGTTGGGTTACAGTGGAACCCATAGCAGGGGCACTTGTGGTAAATGTAGGTGACTTGATCCAAATACTCTCTAATGGATTGTATTCAAGTGTTCTTCATCGAGCCATGGTTAATCGAACCCAACATCGTCTCTCTGTAGCTTATCTCTATGGCCCACCATCAAATGTTAGAATTGCACCACTATCAAAATTAACAGATAATGTTCATCCTCCTCTTTATCGCCCAGTGACATGGAGTGAATATCTTGGTACTAAGGCAAAGCACTTCAATAAGGCACTTTCGTTTGTTCGTTTGTGTGCACCTATCACTATGAGTGGTTTTGTAGATGCAAGTACTGATAATCATAACAGTGTCCTTGTTGGTTGAACATGTTTATGGATCTAATTATTTCACTTACTAATAGGTTGTTGTGTTTACATGAAAACAAAATAAGAGTGGATGAAGTTATATCACATGGTCATATCATTATCAGTCTATCACTAAGAGTATAAAGAAACAAACAAATCATTGTTGTCCTTTTTGTCTTTACCTATAGAGCTCAAGGAAGATCTTCCTAAATTTGTGGCCCAAACATGAAGGAATATCTTCCTTCAAAGAAAATGAGAGTGTTGATGAAGATAGATATGGCTAAATCGATGCATCTAATAGTCAGAAAAAGATGCATGAAAACATCACCTATTATACATGTGTATGCCTGGATAGAAATGCTAAGCTTAAGAAGAACGTATTTTGGCCAATTAATTGTGTGGATAAACCGACAAACTATCAGTAGAACTCATTAAGATGTCACTAAGTTCCCTAACAACCAACAACAGTAATGATGCCTATTAGTACCCTCCCAATTTCTTGTGAAGGATCCAAGCAATCAGTGAGTCAATTTGGTTATATATTAGCAAAAAGGAGAACTGAATCTATAGATGTGGTGTAATTTTCTCACAAATTTAATTAGATCGTTATTGTACATAATCTACTCCAAAATGGCAATGGCATGGGAACAAACAAAAAGACAAACGAATCTATTTGTTTTAATTCCAAAAAAAAAAAAATTAAATCGCCGATCCAAAATCCTCTTTGGATTCTTGTATGACTCATTACAAATGAATCATTATATTAGATTGCATATGCACAATTCTTATAATACAAACAAATTTAGGTCACAATCAGATTAAAATCCAACCACAATGACGATAGTACCTGGAAAACGAATCGACATTCGATCTCCACCGGCCACGTGTTGTTGTCTTCTACAGAAAATTTTGATTTCAAGGTATGCCCTATGATCATCACGTCACCTTCCACTATCGAAGCAATTTCTGATTTTTATTGCAGTCGGAGGCTGTGCCGGCTACAAAGGTTGGTCTCCTCCAAATCCGGCGACCAATGCGCCACCTGATTTTTTTTTCTTCCGAGTGTGACAGAACTTCATAATCGCCCGATTGACATCACCTCGCTGACAGAAACAGATAATGAGCGGCAAAAGATATCGGTTGGAAAAGGGTTAATCTCATAATCAATTTTGTCCAAATTTGAATTTTATGTCCGTTTTTACCCTAACATTTTCGAAAAAATGTTCGGTTTTACCCTTTTACCGATGATAACAGGTTTTACAGGTTACCATTATATTAAATTCGCAAAAAAAACCTTAAGTTTACCATTTTTTTTGCGTGTTTACCCTTAAGTTTATAATTTTTTTTACACTTTTAGTCTAAATATTTTTTTTTCATAATATACGTATTCATGCAGAAAAATCGTATTTATAAACAAAAAAATGTTTAATTAAATATTGTATTTTTTTTAATGTTATATATATATATATATATATATATATATATATATATATATATATATATATATTTGTTTGTTTGTGTGTGTGTGTTTTTGCATGGTTATATCATTTAAAAAGATAAATAATATTTTTAGAATTATAAATACGTGTTTTATAGATATAGTTTTTAGAAGTATAAATACATATTTTTACATTTTTATATATTAATATGTATCTATACTTCTAAAAATATATTATACATTAAAAAAAACATATATCAAAATACATATTTATACTTCTAAAAATATATATATATACTTATATAAACATGTTTATGATTGAACAAGTTTTTTTTTTTAATTTTATTATTGATATGTATACTTTTAAATACATAAAAATACGTATTTGTAGTTCTAAAAACATATTAATTTTTTTTACATCTTATATGGTTTATCCAAGAAAAAACCTACACACACCCACACACACATATATAATATATATATATTATATATATTATATATATATATATATATATATATAATATATATAAAAGAAATAACATTAAAAAATGTAAATACAATATTTAATTACATTTTTTTCGTATATAAATATGATTTTTCTGCATGAATACGTATAATATGAAAAAAAAATACATAGGGTAAAAGTGTAAAAAATCATAGACTTAAGGGAAAAAACATAAAAAAACTGTAAACTTAAGGGGTTTTTGCGAAGTTAATATGATGGTAACCTGTTATCAACGGTAAAAGGTAAAAACCGAACATTTTTTGGAAAATGTTAGGGTAAAAACGGACATAAAATTTAACTTTGGGCAAAACCGACAAAATCCTGAAAACTTAAGGGTTTTTATGACATTAGCCCGTTGGAAAAAAGATAACCCATCTTATTTCTGTGAGGGTTAAAACTTAAAAGAAGGTTATTGAATATTTGAATTTATGTCTATTTAGTCAGTAAGTTTTATTTAATTTATGAAACGTTATTTATTTATATAATTTAAAATGATAATTGAATCTATTATAAAGGTCATAAAAACCACTTTCAATAAAAAAAACATTAAGGTAATTTTTTATAATTTAAAAATAGTTTAGTGATTAAATTTTCATAAATCAATACTTTAGTATCTAATTTGAATCTTAATCTTCTGTATTTGTTACGTTTTAGATTTTTTTTCTATACATTGTAGATCATGTCGATAGTCAATGATCATATTTTTTTTAATGCGTATATATAACATTAATATATCTATTTAAACAAAACATTAACAAATTTAATAGCCGGAATGTATGTTTAAAGATTTATAAAAGAAATGGGAGAGTGTGAAAGAATGGATTATTTCATGTAGGTTTCTAGGACATGTCATTTTGTGTAGGTTTTTTAGGAAACTGTGATAATGAATCATGAATACTAATTTTTAGAAGTGTTGGTCAAAAGAAATGTGATGTCAATTGGTGAACATACAAGAAAAAAAAGTTTGATGACCAGAAAAAAAACATAAAATTAGTTGATTTTATTTTCATTTAAAGTTAAAACTTAAAACCATTAAATGTCATAGTACTTTCAGATCGACAACCTTGATCATATCTCTCCTTTTTTAACATCAACTCTTTAAATACAAAAATTGAAATATAAATAAGAATTCAAACTCGTGATCTCGATACATTGCTTTCTAAAAAACTCATGAACATTCAACATTTGAAAATTAAGAACTAGTATTTAAGTCATTCTGCGTGTTGTAGCGGAAAACTCGTTTGTAAATAATAAAAACGAAAACTACAAAAAAAAAATTATGAACTTACAGAATTTTAATACGCATGGTAACTCCTTTGCAAATCGGATATAAAATGTGAATAAAAATGTCAACAATCGCTATACAATATAGAATGACGTCGATTATATCATATTAAGTGAATCACAAAAGTATCAAAATAAAATTTTGTCAAAACAATTATGTATGGAAGATACATACGAAAATAAAGCTTGAATATGTAACAAAAAACTATAAAAAAAGAAATTTAAAAAATATATAAAAAAAGACAAAAAAAAAACTAGAATTTATAAAATATCAATAATTTAACTTTAAAATAAAAAATAAAAATATTATATTTATAATGGAAAATATAAATATAAAAATATACATGGGACAAAATTGCTATTTCTAAAAGGAAACTTGTTTGGCATATTGTATCATTAGAAAGGTATAATATATTCTGGTTAGACAAAATTGCAAAAATGGTCCTTGTGGTATGCATTTTTTGGGGTTTTGGTCCAATCCACGAGTTTTTAGGTTTTGTGTTCCTTTTGGACTGGTTTGTTTGTGATAATGGTCCCTATACTTAACACCCGTTAAAAAGAATCCGTTAACCCCCTCATGTGCCTTGCACGTGAGGGTATTTCTGTCTTTTTACTTATAGGGACCATTTTTGCATACGAATGTCAACGCTTCCTTCTACCTTTTATCCCTCATTTACAATCCCAAACACCCGTCAACTCCCCACCTCCCTCCTTCTTCCTTCTGCTCCATTAAACCTGCAAAAAAACATCCTTCGTTATCAAAAGAACCTAATCGAAGCAAAAGGAGACAAGGTCATACGTTAAAGTCGAAATGGTGTACGTAATGTGGCAAATCATATCAAAAAATAAAGTTGTCGACGTATCATCCTTATATGGTAAGTTGCTCTGTTTTCTTAAACATTCCTATTTTTCATTTTACCCTTGATTTATACTAAAATCCGCCAAATTTTGACTTTGTTATCATGTACAATTTTGACTTGTAGCGGGTGCACCCACATGGTTTAGTACTAAGCTTCATCATGGTGGGAAGTTTACTAAGTTACCTGATATAAAGTATACTGGAGGTGAAGTGCGTTATGTTGATTATGTGGACATAGATGAGTTTTTTGTACATGAACTTGATGCCATAATGCTTGACCCAGGTTACCCAGACCCACAGATGATTGAATTGACTGATGAATCCCCAGTGATATACTACCATTTCAGGATACCCAATGGTGACTTTCAATTTGGTCTTAGAGCTTTAGGGAATGATCAGGATGTTATCAATCTTTCTAAATTCATTCAAAATAACAAGTTGATTGAGGTGTACACAGAACATGGGAAGACAAATCTACTCACTTACTTCATGTCTCCAAATGCAAAGGGTAAAGTTGTCATTGAGGAATTACCAGAAAATGATGATCAAGGGGCTGAATATGAGGCTGAAGTTCATGTAGAATCTCCATTGAGAAATATGAACCATGTCAATGATGAGCCAATTGGTGAGTACATGTCTTTAATTCTTTTTGGGAGTAAAAGTGATGCATTCTCACAAGAGTATAGAAGGGGTAGAGTTGGGAATTCAAAAAGAGGGGAAGGTTCTTGTAGCAAGAGGCTCATTTTAGAGGATATTGATGATTTAAAAGAGAAGGAAAACACTAATGAGGGTGTTAAGGAGGTTCATGAGGCTGCAACTGTTGTTAATGTAGGGGATGAGATGATTGGGGTTCATGATAATGACCATATTGATGGATGCTACAACACCCCACTTATTAATGATGATGAACAATATAATGAGCTTTTTGATAACCTTATGGAAAAT